ATTACTGCAGGATAAAGTACCAACATCATCCCCCAGTATTTCCAGGTAAAACAAAACCATGGTGGTGCTGTTGGTCAGTACGGAGAATACTGAGATGAATGGAGTCTTGGTCAATTCGATGTGAAGCAACTTCTCTTATTCCTGTTCTTTTGGATAGTGTGACCTTCAAGAGGTCATTTGTAGGTTTGTAATTCTGTGTCCCTTAACCCAGTGGTCTCCAACCTTGGCAACTTTAAGACTTGTGGACTTCAACTCCCAGAGTTCCTCGACCAGCAAAGCTGGCTGAGGAACTCTGGAAATTGAAGTCCACAGGTCTTAAAGTTGCCAAGGTTGGAGACCACTGCCTTAGCCCACCGAAAAGCCATGTGCTTGTGTAGTAGAAGCATTAGAATCTGGAAGTCTTCTGGGGTTGGATCAGGGGTCAGCAACCTGTGGCTCTGGAGCCGCATGTGGCTCTTTCATCCCTCTGCTGTGGCTCTGTCGCCGATCGGCTCCACAATTGATAGGGCTTTCGGTTAGGACAGGTAGAGGAAAAAGGATGCCACGCTAGGAGGAGACTCTATGGTGGGGGAACCGGACTTCCACTTGGCTTCAGAACTGAACAGGGGGCTTCCGGTTAGGACCTTTGTGGCTCTTTGATTGTTGCCGACCCCTGGGCTAGATGGACAAATGATCGAAAGAGATTTCTTCCCCCATGTTCAGGCTTGAGCCTGATCTACATAATCTATGGATTTCCTTCCAGAAGTGATGTCTCTCTTCCAGGTGTCAGAACCAGCTGGCTTTGTGCCCAGAACTCATCAGCAACTGCCACATATTCACCTGTCTGTTCATTAAATTGTACATATGCTTAGGCATAACAACACCCTTTGTTCCCCCCTGTCTCTTAACTACCAAAGTTCCATAGCCCTCCTTTAAAAAAAAAAAAAGTCTTGGGTTGATATTGTAGAGTTGATTCAAAGCTGTCCATGGAACAAGCAGGGCTGCCCATCTGGGTGGAAACGTGTGGGAGCTGAGACAGCTCAAGAGCTCTGGCCTAGTGCTGTGGGCTCACAAGGTCTCAGGTGCAAAGCATGAGTAGTCCCCCCTGCTTCCTTGCCTTTGATGTGTGAGCCAAAAACCATATCGCTCAGTTTGAAAGCAGGTGTGGGTTGCTCCTCGCTCTCTTCCCTTGGAGGGAGGGGGGGGCACAGCATGGAAACGAAGCAGGGTCTGGAGAGCCTAATTTGGTCTGTTGAAAGGCAGACTTGATCATGAAGCAAAATCTTTTAGTTATCCCTGGCTGTCTCTAAAAGGGGGCTTCCAATTGGCCACGGAAGAAGTGGCGGACGGGAATTGTTTTTGCAAAAAATAAATTAACAAGTCATATTAAGTAGGAAGTTTTGGTTACGTTGTTTGGATGCATTGAAAGACCGGGGTCTTCCATGAAGTGGAATTTGGAATACAAAAACATTAGGGTAGGGGAACCTGGAATGAGATAGTATACGCATCGTGGTGTATTAGAATGAACATGATGGTGAAAAATAATTGTACAACTCAAGCACTGTTTAAGTAGTATATATGATTGGTTTTCACTTTGGTTTTTATGGCAAGTGAAATGCCACGTGGCACGACAAAACCGCGCTCGACTAAAGCGCGCCCGATTAAACCGCGTCGCTGACGTCATCAACAGGGCGACAACAGCGAGCGCGGAGAAAGAAGGGCGCTTTAAATAGCGCTTTAAAAGCAAGCTGATTCAAGTTAAGGTAAGGGTTAGGTTTAGGTTTAGGTTTAGGTTTAGGTTTAGGGTTAGGTTT